TCGATATTTCTGTTACAACCAATTTTCCATCGGTTAATTATTATTACAAACAATTGACGTCTCAAGGCTTGTAGATAATAGCCAATAAATCTGAATTGATGCCTGCTTTTAGGAACTATCCCAAGCAAAAATTCACACTGAATCGACGTTGCGTTTACACATATCTGACACTGTTCTCACACAGTTTTAAAACCGTGTGACTATAGTATAGTAGAGTGTGAAGTCGTTTGACACCATTTTTGATGTCAAATAACCGTGTGGATGCAGTTTATGTTTGTATTGGACAGTGTGGAAGTCCGCCACACTGTTTTACATTTAAAACCATGTCGCCGAAGTGTATGACCGTTGCGTTATCATGGCGAATTTTGAAACCATTTTTGGTGTCGACTCTTGATACCTGAACAAACTTACACTGCATCCACACGGTTATTTGAAATCAAAAATGATGTCAAACGGCTTCAAACTCCATTATACTATAGCCGCACGGTTTGACGTTCAAAACCGTGTGCGAACAGTGTCAGATATGCGTTAACGCAACGTCAATTCAGAGTGAATTTTTGCTTGGGTATTCTTTCCATAAAAAGATGGAAATCCATCGAAAGTTATTCAAACGTACACCACAGGCCATAAGTTTGGATACCCCTATGAAACGTTTGTTTCTACGTTTTTTGAACATTTTCACTTGAAATTTAGTATTGGATATGAAAATATATCGAAATTCTGACCGAATGGATGATTTGGAAGATAACATTTGGCCGGCCTATGGCCATCTTTTGGCCTTTGAGCTGTGGGAGCCAAAATCGAAGTCTTAAACGGGCCATCGGATTAAAAAGTTTTATACGCCATTGGAAAGGTCTAGAAAAGTAGATGTGATTTGTGGTATTAAATATAAAAATCGGCCGGCGTTTGGCCAAGATATGGCCGTTTGTAATTTTTGGCCGAAATCTTCAATCAGCCATATCTTGGCCAAAAGCTGTCCGATTTTGATGTTTAATACCAAAAATGATACGTACTCTCCGAGACCTTTCCAACGATGTATAGCATGTTGAAATTGGACAAACGGTTTGAAATTTAAAAATTTTGGGCCAAATTCATTCATAGGGGTATCCAAACTTATGGCCTGTGGTGTACGTCTCATAAAATTTCGCATATTTCCTTCATAAATGCAAAATTAGAAGACACCGCGTTCTCACCATTTTCACTCACAAACTGTGCGACTTATACTTTTTCAAGGTGTACATCTTCTAAAAGCAAAATCATCTAATGATCTAAAATCCAATCTCAGATATGTGTCTTTTTCAAGGTCATTTTTAACACACAATAAAAAGAATTACATTGGTAATCCCGAACTTTTCCGTAGCGTTGGCCTGCGTTGTCCGTAGGTACTTTTGGTAATTTTTTGTGAATTTTCTTGAAATAAAGGCAGTGGAAAATCGGTCACTTTAACTAAAATAAATTCTCAGAAAGTTTGAAGCCAATCAGAATCGATTAACGGGTACCTCCCATACAAAATTGTCCAAAAATCGGTAATTTTAGTCAACATTTCAAAAATTTTGTATGGGAGGTACCTGTAAATCGATTCCGATTGATTTCAAACTTACAGAATCTTATTTTTCTCCCAAAGAATGTATTCCCAGAAAGTTTGAAGCCAATCGGAGCCGATTTACGGATACCTCCCATACAAAAGTGTCAATTATTTGAGGTTTTTCTTAGGGCAAGTACCCCAGGATCAAATCGAAAATGGCTCATCTTCGAACTTAAACTAAGTTTTTCGAATACAAAACTTTTGGCGTTTCCAGATTTTGATTATCTCAAAACAAACAGCTACGACAACGACGACAACGACGACAACGACGACGGCACACGAACGGAAAAGTGTCTCAAAAAGTGGTTTTCTACGCGTTTCATGAGTTTTTATGATGATCTAAGCTAATTTTGCGAAAAAAGTTTTCGGGACCAATTCCTATACTTTCCCTTGACACGTTGTGTACGGAAAAGTAAAACTACGTACATTCACTTTTATCAGCGGTCAAATACATGAATTGCATGCGGAAATTTAGCACATACAATTTGTAAGCTGCAAACAGAAACCTCAAAGTCCACAATTCAAGAGTAGAAGAATTGTGAAAGCAAACGAAGTAGAAAATGCAACAAAAGCAACAAGATAGACATTAAATTTATTCGCAAAATTCTTGAAAAAAAAATTAATGCGTTTTATAGTTTTGATATATTGATTCAGTTTATTTATTTTTCTCTTTCAGTATCAATTTTTTACAGAATTCCCACGTATTATTGAATTAAGGAAAAATTCAAAAATCAATTCGATGACAATAAATCACTCTCTTTTCGTCTTATGCTCTGTTTTTCTCAATACCGGTATCGTTATTTTGCCGAGATGATTTTGTTGAGCCGAATAGATATTTCTCGAAAATCACAATCGGTGATTCGAATACAAGCGATGCAACGATAGATACGAGAATCGTAATCACAGCAACCTTGATGAACGTGCAGATCTAAGAAGAATATCATTGTTATCATTTACACATTATTCACTTCAAATGAATTGATTTGACGAAAAGATGCAAAATCTCACCAGATTCCATTCGGTGAAAACGGGCGCAGTTTTCGTTCCGCCCATGATAACTACAGTAACATAATAATGCAACAAATAGATGGAAAAGCTAAGTCGTGAAAGTGGTAGCCACAATGGGTGGGATAGAAACCAATTGAGACAGCCACCGTATTTATTCACGCAAGCAAAAACGATGTAAAATAGAGCAATTGACCATACAATACGACTCAATGCATCATACAGAGCATATTCAAGTGGTGTTGCTGTAGAATCAGTCTGTTGCAATGGATACCTAAAAAAAACAACAACCACCATCAGCGCGATAGATACCGTCCAAGCAGAAATGTTGAAAATCTAATCGAAAATCGACAAATATTAGTTCAATAATCAAGAGAAAAAAACTTGAAATGAACAAAAACCAATTAAACAAATCTTCATATATGCGAATGGACATTACTTTTGGAATACGTATCGTTCTATTCCGAGTTTCAAACAGAATGTATGCGGTTATAATGCCAATCAACCATGGTGAAAATCGTAAATGCATGGGAACGTATGCTTTTGAATCAATGGCTTTTTCCATCATTATTCTGTAAAATGTGTTCAAAATCAAATTGAAAGTAATTTTAAACTTTTTTGTGTTAATTCGATGTTAAATAATTTCAAAAAATGGTTAAATGCATTACTTGCGCCTAATTTCGTATTTAAGATGAGTAGCCACCATACAACCAACACAGCCCAAGATTAGAAGTATCGAAATTGGCATTATTTTCACTCTAAATTTGTAGATTAAGTAAACGATTGCTGGTGAAATCAGAAACAGTTGCATATCAAGAGATAAATACCAAG